CTTTAATTACCGATTTCATCCCCTCCCCTCCCCTCTCCCCCCTCACCCTCCACCACCCACCTCCTCCCCCCACCCTTACCACCCCCTCCCCCCTCCCCCCCCCCCCCGCCTCCCGCCCCGCTCCCACCCTCTCCCCCCCCCCCCCCCCCCCCCCCCCCCCTCCCCCCTCCCCCTCCCCACCTTCTCCTCCCCTCCCCCACCCCCCCTCACTCTCCCCTCCCGCCCCCCATATTCCTCCACCCCATCCCCTCCCTCCCCCCCCCCCCTTGAATTCTGGATTCTGTCTTCTGTTTTGTTCTATTCTGCTGGCATTGGCTTTCCATTTTGTTTTTTGCATTTCTGTTTCAGTCTTTTATTTGAAGTTTCCATATCTGAGTTGCTTTCCATCTTTAATTCATGCTATATTCGCCCTGAGTTTATTTATCTCTTTATTTATCACTTTTTTTTGTTTGTTTCACTTTGGTGTTTATACAATGCTTCTATAGTTTCTTTTATTTGTTCTTGTGCTTTCTCAAATTCTCTATTTTTGTTGTCTAGGAATTTCTTGAGTGTCTCCTGTACATGTTGGTTGGCCATATCCAGTATTATTTCTATAAAATTCTCACTGATTATTTGCAGGATTTCTTCCTTCAGAGTGTTCTTGTGGGCTCATTGGGTTCTTTGGCATAGTTTTATCTTTGTTTTTTGAGTCTGGATTGGCAATTCTGTTTTCTTCCTTCCCTCTAGTTTTCCTGTACTAATTTTTGTTATTGGGGGGAAAATGGTTTCCTCTTTTTTCCATCTTCCCATCATTCCCTTTGCTACTCTTACTGTCCCTGTACTGTGTGTAATTCAGTATTGTCTAGCTTGTAACAGTAACAATGATAATATCTAGAATGGAAGGGTGAGAAGAGAGGGAAAGCAAAGAAGGTAAAGAAAAAGGGAGAAGAACAAAACATAACAAAACAAAAAACAGAGCCAAAGAAATAAACAGGGAGAGATAGTGTACTAATCAACAGTGAGCTAAACAGGCATTAGAGAGACAGAGAGAGGGAAAAAAAATTTCCCAAGTTCAAATGCAATAAAGTTTCAGTCCCTAATAGTTTTGGTGTTAGTCTTTCAGTTTCCAGTCCTGGTGTTGATTTGTGAGTAGTAGTTCTGCCATTGTCTCATCAAAGGGAAAAAAAATCCCAAGTTCAAATGCAATACAGTTTCAGTCTTAATAGTTTTGGTGTTAGTCCTTCAGCATCTCGTCCTGGTGTTGGTGTTTGAGTAGTAGTTCTGTCATTGTCTCATCAAAGGAAAGAAAAAAAGGAGTCTGGATACAGCTTTGTGAATGTCTATCTGAGGCTGGAGCTCACCTGCCACCTACTGTCAGCCAGCTGCTGCTGCAGGCTTTATTTATTGCAGATCTCAGGAGTGAGCTTTACACTGACCTAGCCCCACAGGCTTTGTTTATTTAGAGTTCTCCTGGATGTATGCTCCTTTTGTCTTCTCCAGTATACAGTCCTACCCACCTTTTGCAATTCCAGTCCTTTTTTATTTAGAGTTCATGTGGGGAGGTGCCCCTCCCCCACTCTGGTGAAGCGTGCCACACTTTAGCTGCTTTTGGATGCCTTCTCCTATCCACGCACACTGGAGGAGGTGGTGCTACACCTGCCTTCTCTGGCAGGCGTGTATATTTACAGTTTGCTTGGGGGAGTGCCCCTCCCCTACTCTGGTGGAGCTTTCCACACGACAGCCACTGTTACAAGCTTTCCTCGCTCCAGGGTTGTTGGGTGGGGGCTGCCATTCCTGCCTTCTCCCGCTGACTTGTTATTTACAGTTCTGTGAGGTATTGCCCCTCCCCCCTCCAGTGCTTGGGGCACCTCGCCCCCTTTGCTATGTGTCTTTTTTTTCCCCAGTTACTTGTTTATTATTCAGTTTGGGTTTTTTTCTTTTTTCCCTGGGTGGAGGTCAGTCTGTCCAGGTGACTATCCTGATTTGTCCCAGGGAGTACTGCCTGCAGCTTATTTGCTCACCTGGTGGTCTCCCAAGCAGGGTAGGAGCTGGTGTCTGGCAGCATGGGAGCCCTCCTGGTTTCTTTGTTTAACGTGGGGCGGGGATGCTATGTGCAAGCTGGGGGTGTGGAGGTGTCAGAGTTTTACTTCTTGGTGGTTTTTTTGTGCCAGGTGTATCTCCAGTGTCTCTCCCAGAGTTTACTTTAGGAAGCATGCTTTCTGCTTCCTCCCTCTAGTTGCCGTCTTGGAATCATGAGCTGTCTCCAAGACAATGCTCCTATTTCTACCAGAGGTTCCTCTCAATTCATCTTGGGTGAACCATTCAGCAAGCTGATGTTCTTCTATTCAAAGATTGTCACTATGGGAGTTATTACTTGCTCTAGTCTCTTTGTTGTCATCTCATCAATGATTTTCTCTTTGCAGTACTGGGGCTTGAACTCAGGTCCTATACTTTGATCCACTCCACCAGCAACTTTTTAATAAAGGATTTTTTCAAGTTAGGGTCTCAGAAGCTATTTGCCTGGGCTGATTTCAAACTGCAATCCTCCTGTCCCTGCCTCCTGAGTAGTTTGGATTCTAGGTGTGAGCCACCATAATTGATTTATTTATAGGATCATAAAATAAGGACTTTATTTTTAGGGCCATCTCCTAACTTGTTTTGTTTATATGAGTTCCTTTGAATGCACAGCCTGAGAATAAGGGGAGGATGGGTTTTGCTTATGAAAGGTGATTACAGTAAGGAAGAATAAGAAGGAAAGGATTATGAAAGGGAAGGAGAAAATGTCAACTGGTGTGAAAGGAATGGAAGTTTCTCAGAAAGATGAATGCTTGATGCATAATACTCCTTAATATGTCACAATTTTATTAGCATATACATTTTATTAAGCATATTAAGTTATGAGGATAGAGTCTGAGAAACCAAGCCAGAAACTTAAAAGATATGTGATGCTTTTTGAGTAGTGCATGGTCAGTATGAGTAAAATTTACATGAAAACTTTCAGTACAGCTGGAGGTAAAGAATAGAACCTCACCAAAAGAAACTTCAACAGTTTCCTTTTAATTACACAATCATTTACCAGTTGTGTGACTTTAGGAAACTAGTAAACTTCCCTAAAATGGCTAGACTGGTTTTTTAATAAAGCAAAAGGACATTAAAAGCATACTGCTCCCAAGGGTATGGTATATAAAGGTTGTGTTGTACATAGTGAATGAAGTGGCCATCCACAAAATGTGCTCAGAGAAATAATAGTTCCATGAAGGGGATTTGTGTGAAAGGCTGTTAGTCTGCACAAACTGGGTAAAAGAACCATACAAAATGCATATATTTTAGAGAGTCCTAATGCTTATGACATTACTGGTTTCAAAATTGGCTTACTTGGATGTACTGCAACACTTGCTTTACTTAAACATGGACTCCCAACATTTATTTTTTAAATTCAACTCTTCATGCTGTATTCCCAGAAATACAATTTGATAATTTGGAGATAATATATGTAAGTGCTTTAACTGAATGAAGAGCAGCTGGTAAATGCACAAAAAATGTAAGGATAAATATGGTTTGTAAAGAATGTAACTTTTGTTAACAATTTAACTTTTGTGGTTGAGGAAAGAATAAGGATGATAGTGAAGACAAGAAATAATCCTTACTATTTTTACCCTTATAAATATTTCATCTCTTTTAATAATTAGATAATTTTAAAGTTCAAATTTTATTTTCATTATATTATTTATCTATAATGCTTTAAGTTGAGAAAAGTTACCAAATAATTGGAATTTTATCTCCTTTAAGTAGCAGCAACCTCACATATGTGGTGAAAGTTTTCCTGGGATATAAGCAGTCTGAGATATGCAAAGTCTAGTTGATTATTGCTTTAAAGTTAGTTACAGCAGAAACCACACACCTTTATAAACAACAAGTGTTACTATACCTTATTAAGCCAACACATTTTCATCACTTTGTTGGATGAATGACACTTAGGTACTTAGAGGAAACTACAATTTAATCAGAGAAACATCAGCATCTTCCAATAACACATACTGGGTGAAATTGCATAGTAAGGTGTTTTCCTAATGGAAGTTATGTTCAGATAACTGTTCACATTAATTCACTTGGTTCTTTGAAATATAAAGAGACAAAAAGAACCTCCCTCAAAACAATTCTCTTTTGTAATGGAAAACCCAGTAATCATTCCCCTCAAAGACCAGACAAACTCAAGTCCTTGGTTCTTGCTCAAAAGAGTATCAATTACAATTGCACCTCACTTTGAGGACCAGGTGACTTACTGCAAGCTGTAAATGCACATTTGTGTACTGCATCCTCTCTTCCTGTGTCTTTGTAGAGAGACATCTTTGAAAGGATTGATAACAAATGTTTAAAATAAAAGTATTATCAGTTTAACAGTTGTGATCACATAATTTAAAGAAGAAAAGACCTTTAGGATAATTCTCAAATATGTCTAACTTATTTGAGACATATTTTTGACAGAAAATTTGGCCTCAGTCCTATCATTTGATACTGATCTGTAGCAAAGGAGTAGAGATCTGATTACCTGGCCCTTCATGTCTATCTTCCTTCTTTACTGCATTCTGTGTAAAAATTCCACTAAATTCCTCATGACTATTTTGGGTGCTCTTTGGCCTACCATTTACTATCCAGCTAAGGCTATTAGTTCTTTAAAATTCTTATACTAAAAGAAATATGTGTTTTGTTTGGAGGAGTGACAAAATCATACCAGCACTCTTGAAATTTTTTCATATAGAAATCCTTCAAGTCAGTAACTACCAGTTGGGGAGAATGTGCTTAATTTTAAACCTGAATCAGGCATATGATCTATTAATATATTTAGGTGTTTTACCAATACTGAAACAAAAGTGTATTTATGCTGACTTTTAAAAACTCAGTTACATACAAATTTTCTTCAGATAACTTTCTTCTTTAAATAAGACCAACCAATTATATAGCAAGTGATATTTAAGATATAATTAACTGACCAAAATTATTGAGTTCTCCAGAAAACTTTCTTACTTATGTCTTATTAACATAGTTTTGTTCATCATGGTTTTTGATTTATATTTTATTAACAGTATTTCAGTTCCAAAGACTTTCCGTAAGGCACTCTGGATCTCCTTGTTTCTCAGGCTATAAATCAGAGGATTGCAAAGGGGTGTTATCACAGAATAAAATAAGGTCACAAGTTTTTGTGCTTCCACTGGGTGACTTGATACAGGATTAACATACATGACCATAATAGAGCCATAAAACAGGGATACCACAGCCAGATGAGAAGCGCAAGTGGAGAAGGCCTTGCGTTTGCTTGCTGCTGAGGGCATCTGCAGCACAGCCAGAATCACCAGAGCATAAGAACAAAGGATGAAGAGAAAAGTCCCAATCATGAAGACAGCATTGAATGTAGAGTAAGTGAACTGGGTCATGTTGTTCTCAGAACAGGCCAGCATCAACAATGGGACAGGATCACATAAAAAATGGTTGATAACGTTTGGGCCACAAAAATGCAAATGTGAAATGAGGAGAACTGGATTTAGGCAAAGGATGAAGCCACATGACCATCCAAAGATGACGAGGCCAGTGCACAGCTGTCTGGTCATGAGGCGTGGATAATGCAGAGGGCGGCAGATGGCAAGGTACCTGTCAAAAGCCATGATGCAAAGGTAGAACCCCTCATCACACCCGAAGGTGAAGAAGAAGTAGAACTGTGCAAAACAGCTCACAAAAGAGATGGACTTGGTTGTGGAGAGGAAGTTGGCCAACATGTTAGGGACAGTTGTGGTGACATAGCATATTTCCAGGACAGAGAAATTCCCTAAGAGGATGTACATGGGGGTGTGAAGATGCCGGTCTCCCCACACAGCCCAGGTAATGGCTGCATTCCCCATCAGTGTCAGGGTGTAGGTTACTGAGAAGATCCCAAAGTAGAGGAGCTGCATTTTGGGGCTTGAGGGAAAGCCCAGGAGGATAAAGTGGTCAGTGGAGCTTGTATTTTCTTTGTGGGACACATTCATTGTTCTGGAAGACATGGAGATAGCCATAGTTATTAAATTTAATGTAGAATGTTTGTTTGTCTTGGAAACACCAAATTTTTCATTTTGGATAATGATATAAACAAAGGCAATTCTGTTAAAAGCAATTAGAACAGCAACAAAATAAGACAAAACTTAGAAGGAACAAAACACCACAACCTAGTCCCCAAGAGTAAGTTTTCATTTTATTAAGATACAAATCATACCACAAATATTACACAGGTTGAGGCAAACATTGCACAAGGTCAGAGTAAATAGTATAAGGTTTATAATTCTCCTAAGTTATATTACCTATGCTATGTATGTCCTCTTATAAGTACCCTATAAGATTCAGATCAAAACAATCAGTGTATGTGAAATTCTAAAGTATCACAATTTTAGTAATGTTGATAATTATGCTAAAGGAAGTGCTACTCACACTTTTCAAAAAGTTCCGTCTCACTGTGACACAGTGGATGATGCAGGGAATATTCCTCCTGTCTCTTCTTACGGTTTTTGCATAATGATTAAAAGGGCTCTCTGATCCCAGGATAAATGATTTTTACTTGGCTATATCTAATACATATTTGGCATAAAAGAAATTCTTCCTTGCTCTGTAGCCTGCTATGTTCAACTGTACAGCATGGAGAAAGTTTTATAATTTTGTACCTAAGATGCTCTTATGGAAAATCTTGATTCATTCCTGTGTGAATGTGAAAATGAATGTGCTACTTGGGTCACCTGTCCTTCAGGAATGAAACTGCTTTGAGTGATTAGACTGCTTAATATGCACAATTTTTCTGCAAAAACATTGTGAAGGACACAGAATTTAATCATGGTGTGTGTTTGTGTGTGTGTGGTTTCCATAATGCTTTCTTCATGGCTTATTTCTGTGTTTTCTCTTCAGTTTCCTTTATTATGGTGTTTTACCTTACCCATTACTGGCATTTCTACTGAGACAACCTTAACACATGTGCTGTGTTGATGCACTCACTCATCCTTCTCCTGTACTGTTCACTGTTACTTTAAAGAAATTTACATTTTATATTACACGTCTCCTAGGACCCTTCTTTTGATCATCACTTGTTGTATCTAAAGTGGAAGGACTGCTGCTTACATGACTTTCCCTTCATGTCTGTGGTTTCTGCATCTGTGGTGTCAACCAACTGCTGATCAAACATATTTTAAAACATTGCTTTTGTACTAAACGTGCAGTTTTTTCCTTTTCATTATTCTTTAAGCAGTACAGTATAACAATTCTGCATGGACTTTACATTTTGTTAGGTATTGTAGATTAATCTAGAGATGATGTAAGTTACACAGGAGGACCTGTTTATTATATGTTAATGCTGCACCATTTTCTCTAAGGGGCTTGAACATGTGGATTTTGGTATCCATAGGAGTTTCTGAAGTCAACCCCCCGCCATGGCGGGGGGGCAATTGTATTTCATTGCTTATGTGACTGTGTAAACTATGTGAAGTCTGAACTCAGCTTGGTGGCTCGGGCTAGTATTTTTTTCATCATGAGTAAAGGCAATGTATTGCAGATATAACTTCTGAAATCATAAGTTGTTTTTGTTTCTTATCATAGACTTATTGTTTTACCTTGATCTCTTACAGCTGTGCACTAATATTAAAACAAAATACTTATTTATGGTTCAAAATTGTTTTTGGTGTTTTGGTTTGAACCCAGGGCTTCACCCATGTTGTACATATACTCTGTCACTGAGCTATACTCAAGGACTTTGTTATGCTTTCTACCTTGAGTAACTGACTTTCTTGGACAAGCTTGTTGTACAGTATCTGAGGAAGTATAAATGTCATTTTTGTCCAGAGACAGACATCTGAATCTCCAGTGAACATTGACCATTCTCAGACAGCATTAGAAATAGAGTACCTTCATAAACTTTAAATTTTACTTATATATATATATATATATATGTATATTTAGTGCAAAATATGCATAAGCAGGGACAAAGAAGACATGAATGGTAAGATAATAGGCAATTGTTATAAATGCACATAAAAAATTTTTACCTGTGGGATGCCACAAATTATTCAGTTGCATTCTCTGTTAAGAGAAAAATGTTCCCTTAGCTGCCTCAGAAGTCTTAATGGTTAATTAATTTTTCCATAACTCATTTGTACATTAAAAAAACCTCAATTTATTTTTGTCGTTTTTACTTTGGCTTGTGTTCTAATTCCTCAGGACTCTACTGTCAGCTACTTTAATTAATTATTTCACTGATAGTGGAGCCAAACAGTCATAATTAAATCAAGACAATTCTCACCTTGCTTTAATTCTCTCTCTCTCTCTTTTACTGGGTCTTGAAGTTGAGGCCTGGTGCTTAGGGAGGTGCTCTATCTCTTGAGCACACCCCTAGTGCTTTTTGCTGTAGTTATTTTTTGAATAGCTAGGATTACAGGTGCATGCCACCACAGCCGTCTTTTTATTGGTTGGGATGGGATCTCACAAACTCTTTGAATGGGATGGCTTTGAATCATGATCCTCCTAGGATTACAGGTGTGAGTCACCATGCCCAGCTCCTGCTTCAATCTTCTATGACAATATTTCTTAGGCACACTAATTGTATATAGTCACAATCCTTTAATTGCAATTAAAAAGCACAATGTTAAATAGGTTTGTCATAAAGTAGTGTTATTTCTCATAAAACCAAAGCATATTTATCAAATGAATCAAAGCAGCTTATCAATTTGGGAGATAAGGTATCAGACTGGAAAAGGATTTTCCATGGATTCTGATTTATATAAGCATCAAATTCAGTACACTGTTGACAATAAATGTACCTTCACAAATTTATCAGTTATACATTTTCAAAAAAATCCCCAAGAGCCTTTGTAAAAATGGTCGTTGATATTTTAAAATTATAAGGAAACTAGATATATTTCCTAAGACTCAGTGAAAATATATTATTTCCAAGTTTCTTTTTCTGAATTCCACTCAAAATATTTACATATTCAGAGCAATAAGAAAGCACTTACCAGGAAATTAATTTATGTATAACCTTGATTATGAGCTGAGAAGAAAGTTCTGAGAGGGGAAATAAAATGTTACTGAACAGGGCAAAAAAGCATGTGAGAGGCTTCTAAAAATTGGATGATCCAGTTTGTAACCTGCATGAGTTCTAAAAAGCAAATTTTAGAGTATTTTTTCTCTTTAGTTCCAAAAATTCATATTTATGGTCAGGATGAAAGCCCAAAGGAAGGTATAGTTTCTGTTTACTTACTTGCATCTTGGCCCTATGAGATTTGAACCTCTTCTCTAGTGTTTTTCACATGCTTATTCAACAGAAGAGGTAGTTCAGAATTCTATTTATTTACAATGAAACACTAAATGTAGTTATTCCCTGTGGAATAAAGCACTTGGCTCTTACCTTCTCCTGGGCTTTAAATAAACAGGCTTTGCAAAAGGTTCCTGGGGAATAATTAAAAAGCTTGTGTTAACTCAATAAGAAGGTCTACCATTAGATTCCTTTTTTCGCATTTTGAAGAAAGAGAAGACATACATTGCCCACCAGTATCATTTCTCAAATTTGCTTAGAGACATTTCAGCTGCATTTGGAATGTTTTTAGAAAAGTGGCATATTAGGTGCTAAACTCATTTAATGTTATTCAACAGACATTTAGGGAGGCTTAATAGACAGTGCAATGTGGAATAAACAGAAAAGGAAAAAGTCCAGTTTATTTAGAGAAATTAAATTCAATGTTTCTCGTTCTTTCTCTGGCAACAGAAATTAACAAAATTAGTAAGTGTATAAGTGATTTACATAGTGTTTCATTTGTGGAAAATGAAATGTGGAATGGGATGTGGGATTGAGTTTGCGAGAAATGTTTTTAAATTTTACTTAATTTTTAAATTTTTTGTTCTTTTTTAGTGGTTCTCATCTTTTTATTAGCATATATTAATTGTACAAAAGGCTTAATATTGATATTTCCATACACTTCTTATTTTAAATAAAGTTTTAAGGAAAGCCTGAAAGAGACATTATCATGGAGCCCAAATTTGAAAAAGCAGAGGAACAGAGTATGAGGGTGTGGAGAGAGTATCTCGGGCGAAAAGCAGCTAATGTTGGAGACCAGCAGGAGGAGTATGACTGGCACAGCGGGTGAAGGGCACAGAGGCTAGTGTGCTGGAGCGATGTGAACCAGGGAGATGCCCTGGCCTTTTATTTGTGTAGATCTGGTTGTGAGGTACGACTTGTTTTTGTTTATTTTCGTATGTGCTTTTGTAATCATATTCATAAAATTAATGTCAACCAACATCATGAAGGTTTTGCTATATGTTCTTTTCTTCCAGCAGTTTTACATTTTCAAGTCTTATGTCTAAGTCTGTAATCCATTTTTTTTTATTCATATGTGCATACCATGTTTGGGTCATTTCTCCCCCCTTTCCCCACCCCCTCCCTCCACCCTTTACCCCTTGCTACCAGGCAGAAACTATTTTGCCCTTATCTCTAATTTTGTTGAAGAGAGAGTATAAGCAATAATAGGAAGGAACAAGTGTTTTTGCTAGTTGAAATAAGGATAGCTATACAGGGAGTTGACTCACATTAATTTCCTGTGCGTGTGTATTTCCTTCTAAGTTAATTCTTCTTGATCTAACCTTTTCTCTAGTTCCTGGTCCTCTTCTCCTATTGGCCTCAGTTGCTTTAAAGTATCTGCTTTAGTTTCTCTGCATTGAGGGCAACAAATGCTAAGTGATAGGAATGTTTTGTAAAGATCCTGACCCAGCAGATTTAGGAGTCAGAAGTCCCTATATCACCTGGTCGTTGTGAACACACAGCAAGGATCTGGCTGGCATTTGTCCACAGAGTGCTGGATAGGATAACTGATTTAGCTACAGAAGGAGTTAAAGGTACATTGTGAGTTAAAGGTACATTGATCTACTTATGGTGGGAAAATAACTAGGTGCAGTCAGAGGAGAGTAAAAGTCACCACCCACCTGAGCAGAGCTCCCAGGAGGCAGAGACCCAGAGGACAGTGCTGCTATGGTGTATCCCAGTATCCAC